TTGGTATTTGAAGATTACCAGTATCTTATATTACTTGGGGTAATGCTATACGTACTAACAGATTATACTAACCAGAGTATTAATTTAAAGTATAGAACGGATATCATACACATAGTATAAGTACTATGTGTGATTTTAACAAAGGTTAGTATACTGATTAGTAAAATCCGTTAGTGCACAAAGTGGTTAGTAAAATCTGTTAGTACGTAAAGTATTATTCAATCAATAATACTATGCTTACTCACTAGCTTATTAATAGTATAAAATTATATATAATAATTATATTATATATATCATACTCGTACTATACGTTATATTTAGAAAGGATATTAAAATGATTAGTAAGCTCGAACGCATATACATTATATTTACATAGGATAATAAAATGATTAGTAGGCTGTAACGCGTAGCATTACTCTTATTGATTCCCGTTCTCGCACTCTTCTATGTTTCAGTTCTCTGGGCTGTTGTTACTTGCAAGTAACTTGAAACCAGGAGCTGTGACAGATTTTGTTGAAAGCTGGAAGTGAAATCTGAGGCCTCTCTGAGTCTCACTCAACACAATTAATTGTGGGATGAGTGATGATTACTTGGACCCTCCACCACATTGTTGTCAGAAATGAGGAGATTATAACTACTTTTCTGTCTATACTTACTTTCCTCATTCTTTCCCAGAACACCAGATACAGTCCGGCTATAATTACAAAGCTCCATAATCCTGCACATTGCATCCAAAGTAAAGATTAAACAAACTATTATAACCATGATTGCAAGAGTAACATAATAATTCAAAACAAAAAATCAATTTGCAATTTGGTTGAGAAGACTTACCCTCCCAAGTAAAATTCTTCTCCAAGAGCAACTGTGGCCATATAGCAACAACATTGTTTGTAAAGGTAAATATGCTGACACACACTGGACCTCCCCTGTCAATGACATAAATCTGTACTGCGAATGCCATTGCTGAAGCCACCAATCCCTGCAGTCACTAATTTCTGTTATTCTTCCAGGAAAATAAAATTAGAAACGTAAAAGCAAATAGAGAGCGACTTAGAAAAAGTGGGATTGCTACAACTATTAGGATCGAAGCTTGACTATCAGGATTGACTGCTTGAGATAGGTTTTCTTATATCAAAATTGTGTTTGATCGTGGACTTATCACATTGCACATGTTGGAAATGGACTAATGATTTTTTCTCTCCATGCCAAGATGTGGTTAATTAAATCCCCAAGACCATAACTAGCTACCAACAATTTAAACAAAAAGATCATGATACTAATTGATACATACCGAGTAAAAAGGCTGAAGAGTTCATAGCCGTAGGTGATATGCCAGGCTTGTGAATCTCTTTCAAAGTATGCTGCAATCGCAAAAAACTGCATAACACTAAAGCAGCAACTATAGGACGACTGAGAGCGAGCGGTATTTCTTCAAAACAGGAGTTTGCAACACTATCCAGCTGGACCAAAACAGGCAGTGACCAATGACAGATGCAACCTAAGGTCCATTCTTCTCTTTGGTATCTCCCAACAAATCAGATTTTTCTGAAATGGGTTTGGACTATAAATAATTGGTCCTTTGTATAGGGTTATGACTGAAGCTCCAGCAACAGAAACAAGAGTTCCAAGCACCTTAGCTATTCCATCTTTCCGGGTCACGTGTACTTGCTCTATTCTGCAAAACAAAGCATAAAAAACAAAAAAATCAATAATTATATATATAATTTGCTCAAACTAGCAACAAACCAATTATCTTGAGGGTCACAGAAATTATGGAGATGGAAATTAAGAGTTTTATTAATTGGTACCAGAATCGCGGCCATGATAAAGGTACGGCAGGTACTGCATTCTCTACGGCAGAAGCGAATGTAGTGAGTGTTGTCCAAACCAAAAATGTAAGATCCTTGATTCAATGTTTTCTGCCACAAAGAGATAAAAAAGTTAATGTTCTGAAATCGTTTGGTCATCATATATTAATAATTAATGTTTCTATAATCAAATCTTACCCAAGAAATCCAAGGAAAAAGAATTGTATGAAATGAGGGGGTTAATGCTGGCCTGTCTTTCCTGGAGCCAAGAAGAAAAAGAACAAAATTGTGAGATTGGAGCCCAAAACAAATTAAATTTACATATAATGAACAATATATCATACTTCTCTAGGAAATATGCGAAGGGAAACAGCACAATGAGAGCTATGATGTTTCTGTAAAGAGGAAGACTAGTTTGCTTACGCCCAGATTGAGAGCACCTCTCATGATAACATGGTTTCCCGCATAACCAAACTGAAACACTGTCATGGCTATGTCAACTTGGCTCGTTCAGGCACCATGCCAATTCTCTTAACCGGTGCTAACCCATCTTCCGCCATCGGAACACCCAGATTCAAAAGAGAAGGTAAAGTTTCAGTATAAAAGAAAACTTAAACCGATATAAAGGGGAAGAAGAGAGGGAACATTACGAGGAGATGTCCCACAAAATTGGCTAAGCAAAATTTTAGTACAGACTGAAAAGCAGTATTTAGTGGAGAAATCATATAAATTAACGCAACTTCTGAACTTAACAATGGTCAAACCATCAATTATTTTGTATCTTACGAGTCCAAGTTCTTGCTGCATTGCACGTTAAGGCAACCATCCTGCGGTATTTTTTCAATTAATTATTAATGGTGCTATCAGTATGATGAAGGACGACAAGAAAACTAATTAAGAATAACAAACGGATTTGGTTTGGTCTTCAGTATCAGTAATCAAAATCCTAAACGGAACTAGACATGTGGGTGCAAAGTGTGAACTGTAGAAGTGCACCTTACTCGTTGAGTATATCCCGGCACCTTAAACTATCCTGATCCAAATACTTCTATGAACTCGGGTCTGGCACTGGAACTCGCCGGTTTTGGTTCACCACTCCTCCAGAAGTAGGACCCGATGTTCCATACACATTTGGGATTATGGGTTAGTTGTTATAGTCTCTGCATTTTTTATTGGGTGGTATGTTCATGAGACGTCCCATTTTTGTTTTTTTTTTTGTTTTCTCTAGTAATGTAGGACATCTTTTTATTAACAGGTGATTTGGGACAAACATATGCATCTAATACGACATTTGAGCATTATGTTTCGAACCAAAATGGACAAGCAGTGTTGTTTGTTGGTGATCTTTCTTATGCCGACCATTATCCGTTCCATGACAATGTGAGGTGGGATACATGGGGCCGTTTTGTTGAGAAGAGCACTGCATATCAGCCATGGATTTGGACTGCTGGCAATCATGAGCTTGATTATGCTCCAGAAATTGTAAGTCCTATGCACCTAAAGTGTATGGATTTGATTTAATTATCAAATTTTCTGTTGATTGTCTAATTGATTTTATGTATTTCAGGGTGAAAACGTTCCTTTTAAGCCATATATGCATAGGTACCATGTCCCTTACAGGGCATCTCACAGTACATCTCCACTTTGGTATTCCATTAAGCGCGCATCAACATACATAATTGTCCTTTCTTCTTATTCAGCATATGGTATTAAACTTTCTTCAGATTTTGTCATTGGTTTAAAATTTTTTCCTGCAGAAAACAAGGGCCTAACAATAATAATATGCTGGTACAGGGAAATATACTCCTCAATACGAGTGGCTTCAAAACGAGTTACCAAAGGTTAATAGAGCTGAAACTCCATGGTTGATTGTTCTTCTTCACTCTCCTTGGTATAACAGCAATGGCTACCATTATATGGAAGGAGAGAGCATGAGAGTGATGTTTGAGCCCTGGTTTGTTGATCACAAAGTCGATATAGTCTTGGCTGGCCATGTGCATTCGTACGAGCGTTCAGTAAGCTTTCTTGTTCCAACCCAATTTCAATCTGCAGATTCTTATGCTTGTGCTGACATCCATGATAATTAAGTGGGAAACAACATTTATTTTAATCCGGTTACTTAAACCCTGTGTGTTTCGTTCGTATATTATCTAACTCAAATTGTTTGCTTTGTTGAAAACTTGTTCTATTTCCTCTAGGAGCGAGTTTCAAATGTGCAATACAACATAACAAACGGATTGAGCTCCCCAGTTAAGAACCATTCAGCTCCTGTGTACATAACCATTGGTGACGGTGGAAATATCGAAGGCATTGCTAACAGGTGAGCTTCTATCATGGTCTATAAAATAGAAAATTTGTAGTTCAATTATCTGAATCTTGACAAATTACCCTATTCTATGTGCAGATTCATTGAGCCACAGCCCAGTTACTCAGCATATAGAGAAGCAAGCTTTGGACACGCAATTCTTGACATAAAGAACCGAACTCATGCTCATTTTACTTGGCATCGTAACCATGATAGTGAACCTGTTGCTGCTGATTCACTGTGGATGTTCAACAGATATTGGAATCCACAAGAAGAGAATAACTAGGCTATGAACAAGTGTTAACAGTCATATTTCTGCTTCAGTAGATTAGGTTGTTTATCTTTTTCATTCACCATTTTGCTCAACTAGCTTTTATGTTTGTGATCTCTGCGTCTTTTATTTGTGCTGTTAGATTTATGACCTTTAGAACAAAAAGGAATTCAACTTAATTAATTGTTTGCTGGCATCTCAACTGTTGACCGCAGCACTATGGTTGTTTGACTTGAGTGAATTCAGTATGGCCTTTTTATTTCCACCAAGTACCAACTAGTGGCTGAAGTTCTGTGTCTTAGTTGTTAATTATAGCCCTTTCACTCCGACTACTTGATATCAAGACCTAATATATAATTCTATTCACATTGGATCCTGTATTTTTTTTTTTTTTTTCAGTTAACTAGGGTATTTGAGACAGTTTGCGTATACCTCAACTAATATCCGAAGTCTATTTGAACAATCCCAAAAGACTAAGTAAACTATAATATTATTGTGGTAAGTGGTCCCAAGGTTTGAACGCAATAACTCAAGGAAGGGAACAAATTTTCTTGACCATCAAGCCAACCCCACAGGTTCGGATCCCATAATTTCAATACTGCAAAAACTTGAGCTCTTGCTGTTGAGAGAATTCTATAAAAAAATTGTAATGAACTACTAAACAGCTATTGAATGCATAAAGTATTCTCGCACACGCATTTTCAAGGCCACATAAATGAACAGCATGACCCTCTGAACTTGGAGAAGTCAAGACGTTTGGTATTCTTATTATTTATACGCTGAAAAGGCAACAATGGATGGTGTCTGCAACATCCATCGATTTACTATTTGCTTTTCAAATTATTTCACAGGCCCAATTGCCGCCTGTCTTGTCTACCTCTGATTTTAACTAAATATTGGAGCCTTCACATGGTCTTCTTTTTAAATTGATTTCAAAAGCCACTGCTCACAATCAACTGCTCTTGTTACTTGCAAGTAACTTGAAACCAGGAGCTGTTGACAGATTTTGTTGAAAAGTTGGAAGTGAAATCTGAGGCCTCTCTGAGTCTCACTCAACAATCAATTAATGGTTGGATGAGTGATGATTTACTTGGACCCTCCACCACATTGTTGTCAGATAATGAGGAGATTATAACTACCTTTTCTGTGCTGTACTTACTTTCCTCATTCTTTCCCAGAACAACCAGATACAGTCCGGCTATAATTAACAAAGCTCCAATAATCCTGCACATTGCATCCAAAGTAAAGAAGTAAAGATTAAACAAACTATTATAACCATGATTGCAAGAGTAAATCGTAATAATTCAAAACAAAAAAATCAATTTGCAATTTGGTTGAGAAGACTTACCCTCCCAAGTAAAATTCTTCTCCAAGAGCAACTGTGGCCACTATAGCAACAAGCATTGTTTGTAAAGGTAAATATGCTGAAACAAACACTGGACCTCCCCTGTCAATGACATAAATCTGTACTGCGAATGCCATTGCTGAAGCCACCAATCCCTGCAGTCACTCATTTCTGTTATTCTTCCACGGAAAATAAAATTAGAAACGTGAAAGCAAATAGAGAGCGACTTAGAAAAAGTGGGATTGCTACAACTATTAGGATCGAAGCTTGACTAATCAGGATTGACTGCTTGAGATAGGTTTTCTTATATCAAAATTGTGTTTGATCGTGGACTTAATCACATTGCACAATGTTGGAAATGGAACTAATGATTTTTCTTCGTTATGCCAAGATGTGGTTAATTAAATCCCCAAGACCATAACTAGCTACCAAACAATTTAAACAAAAAGATCATGATACTAATTGAGTCACATACCGAGTAAAAAAGGCTGAAGAGTTCATAGCCGGAGTGAATATGCCAGGCTTGTGAATCTCTTTCAAAGTATGCTGCAATCGCAAAAAACTGCATAACACTAAAGCAGCAACTATAGGAGACGACTGAGAGCCGAGCAGGGTATTTCTTCAAAACAGGAGTTTGCAACACTATCCAGCTGGACCAAAACAGGCAGTGACCAATGAGACAGATGCAACCTAAGGTCCAATTCTTCTCTTTGGTATCTCCCAACAACAAATCAGATTTTTCTGAAGATGGGTTTGGACTATAAATAATTGGTCCTTTGTATAGGGTTATGACTGAAGCTCCAGCAACAGAAACAAGAGTTCCAAGCACCTTAGCTATTCCATCTTTCCGGGTCAACTGTACTTGCTCTATTCTGCAAAACAAAGCATAAAAAACAAAAAAATCAATAAATTATATATATAATTTTGCTCAAACTAGCAACAAACCAATTATGCTTGAGGGTCACAGAAATTATGGAGATGGAAATTAAGAGTTTTATTAATTGGTACCCGAGAATCGCGGCCATGATAAAGGTTACGGCAGGTACTGCATTCTCTACGGCAGAAGCGAATGTAGGTGAGGTGTTGTCCAAACCAAAAATGTAAGATCCTTGATTCAATGTTATTCTGCCACAAAGAGAGTAAAGAAGTTAATGTTCTGAAATCATTTGGTCATCATACATTAATAATCTAATGTTTCTATAATCAAATCGTACCCAAGAAATCCAAGGAAAAAGAATTGTATGAGAAATGAGGGGGTTAATCCTGGCCTGTCTTTCCTGGAAGCCAGGAAGAAAAAGAACAAAAATTGTGAAGATTGGAGCCCAAAACAAGATTAAATTTACATATTATGAAGACAACAATATCATACTTCTCTAGGAAATATGCGAAGGGAAGCAGCACAATGAGAGCTATGATGTTTCTGTAAAGAGGAAAGACTAGTTTGCTTACGCCCAGATTGAGAGCACCTCTCATGATAACATGGTTTCCCGCATAACCAAACTGAAACACTGTCATGGCTATGTGCAACTTGGCTCGTTCAGGCACCATGCCAATTCTCTTAACCGGTGCTAACCCATCTTCCGCCATCGGAGCAACCGCTAGATTCAAAAGAGAAGGTAAAGTTTCAGTATAAAAGAAAACTTAAACCGATATAAAGGGGAAGAAGAGAGGGACAATATACGAGGAGATGTCCCACAAAATTGGCTAAGCAAAATTTTAGTACAGACTGAAAAGCAGTACTTAGTGGAGAAATCATATAGATTAACGCAACTTCTGAACTTAAAAAATGGTCAAACCATCAATTATTTTGTATCTTACAGAGTCCAAGTTCTGCTGCCATTGCACGTTAAGGCAACCATCCTGCGGTATTTTTTCAATTAATTAATTGAATGGTGCTATCAGTATGATGAAGGAGACGACAAGAAAACTAATTAAGAATAAACAAACGGATTTGGTTTGGTCTTCAGTATCAGTAATCAAAATCCTAAACGGAACTAGAGCATGTGGGTGCAAAGTGTGAACTGTAGAAGTGTTACCTTACTCGTTGAGTAATATCCCGGGACCTTAAAACTATCCATAAGAACTTATGTGGTTATCTTTATTATGGATCGAGTAGAGATTCGAAATCAAAACCTCTTAAATGATATACTTAAGAAGATATTTGGTTCAGAGAATGTTTGATTATTGAGAATATTATATTACTAGAAAGTTAGATTACCTTGAGAGGGCGTTTGGTTCAGGGAATTTTAGATTACTGGGAATGTTGGATTACTGAAAAGATAGACTACCTTGAAGATTACTGAAAATCTTTAGGAAAATGTGTTTGGTTAGTTGGTAGGTATGTTATATTAATATGTTTGATTATGGGAAATAAATTGGTGAGTATGTTATTTAAATTACTAAATTGTCTCATTTTTAAATATTAATATAATATTATTTTTATTATTAATTTTTGAACAGTTTCTTTTAACCCCCAATATTTCAGATTTGGCTAAAACACCCCCGCTTATATAAAACTTTAATTTATGATGAAATCACCCCCACCTCCTGCCGTCGCAAACCACCGTCGGAAGTTTTCGAAAGTCCCTGTGAGTAGCTCACCGTGACCTAGAGGCTCCGATATGGTCGTTTCTGTCCATATTGATGGCCGAAAACAACCATATCAAGCCAAATCTGGCTGTTAATGGCCAAGGATCTTGCCGTTAACAGCCAGTTCCATTGATCTGGCCATTTTCGGCCAGATCTGGCCTAATATGGCCATTTTCGGCCATCAATATGGTTAGAAACAGCCATATCGAAGCCTCCCGGAGCCTCCCACAGAATCTCGTTCTTTTTTAGGGACTCCGATGGCGGTCCGTGGTGGTTGGCCCGCTGTTGGCGGTGGTGACTGGGTGGCAGTGGTGGTCTGTAAATTGTTTTAAATATAAGGGCATTATTGTCCAAAAATTTTATTAATAAGAGATAAAATTGTAACAAAAAAAGATAACCCTGATAATCTTAGAATACCTAAGAAAATTGAGTTAATCAGATTACCTCCAATATTACCAATAGTAACCACTATTGGTATTTGAAGATTACTGGTATATTATATTACTTGACAACTAAACATGGTAATCAAGTAATATAAGATGACTTAACCCACAGTAATCCCACATAACCCCCAACCAAAAGCCTTCTGAAGATTATTGGGAATCTTTAAGAAAATGTGTTTGGTTAATTGGTGGGTATGTTATATTAATATGTTTGGTTGGGAGGAATAAATTGATAGGTATGTTATTTAAATTACTGAATTGTCCTCTAATTAAATATTATTATTATATTATTTTTTAATATTAATTATTATTTGGATTATTATAACCCCTTTTGCATTTAAAAACTTAGCAAAAACAACCACATAATAAAAATTTGGAAAATCAACAAAGCACTCTCATCAACCTAGCCACTGCCGCCCGCCGGCAACCACCGTAGGCCGCTGGCAGCCGGCAACCTAATGGCACACGAAAGGTAGGAAATGGCCTCCGTGCGTCGTATGGCCATTTCCGACTAAAGATCTAACTGAAAATGGCCAGACGTGGCAGATTTGGCCGTCGATGGCCAGATTGATGACGGATCTGGCCTTTGACAGCTAGATTAGATATGACCGTCAACGGCGAAATCTGGCACGATCTGGCCAGAAATGACCATATTGGCGCATGACGGCCATTTTCGGCCTTCTGTGCGCCATTCCGGCGGCGGCTGGCTGCGGTGGTGGTTGTCAGCGGCAGGCGGGTGGGGGTGGTGGTTTGGGTGGGCTGCAATTTGTTTTGAATTCAAGGGTAATTTTGTCCAAAAAGTTAATTAATTGGGGTAAAATAGTAAAAGTCATATTCATGTGAATAAATTTAAAAATAAAGGCATTATTGTCCTAAAATTTTATTAATAAGGGATAAAATTGTAACAAAAAAAGATAACATTGATAATCTTAGAATACCTAAGAAAATAGAGGTAATTAGATTACCTTCAATATTACCAATAGTAACCATTATTGGTATTTGAAGATTACCAGTATTTTATATTACTTGACAACCAAACATGGTAATCAAGTAATATAAGATGACTTAATCCTAGTAATCCCACGTAACCCCCAATCAAACACCCCCTAAGAGTTCTTAACAAATCACTTATAATTAGAATAACGAAATTATTATAATATAAAATATTTATATCAAGTTATTTTTGTTATAAATATTTACAAAAATAAATATTAAATATAAATTAATAATAAACTAATAAATTAAAATAAGTGATTTAGAATTTTCGTAGATCAATTTATTAAGTTGTAAGTTGCAACGCTTGTTTACTGGATGTTGTCTAATGGGCCATGGCTAAAACGAACATTCTAAACGCAGCGTTTATTGTTGTTTTAGTTTTCTAAACGGTTGTAATTCCCGTTCTCGCACTCTTCTATGTTTCAGTTCTCCGGGCATCAATTCCGTGAAGGAGAAACGGGGGTTACGACGTTGTTTACATTCAGTTTAATTATGCAAAATACATTAATACTCATTGCATTTTACAATCAGTAAGTTCAAAAACCCTAAATCTCTGCGCACAAATCCGTGTCGTTCACATACTACGTCAAGAAAATGCTGCCGCCTAAAATAGAAAAACCGGAAATTGTAGTTGAAATCGGCAGTAGCGACGATGAAGACGTTCCACAAGTCAACCCAACTTCTAATAAAACGACACCTCAATGCGTACCCCTAATGCAGCTACAGCAACAGCAAGACGTTGCAGCAATCACACCACCGGTTCCGGTTAAAGAAGGGTTTGAATCCAGAAGTTTCTGGAAAGCCGGGGCTTATGCTGTGGGACCCACCACTGTACTGGCTCCTTTTGAAGGTTTTTTTTTTTAATTAATTTAATTTTTGGTTCCTCTTAGAATCTTTTTAAGTTTCTGAAGATGAATTAGTAGGTTTGCGCTGTTTTTGGCGCGAGTTACAGGTTCATTGGAGCATGCTCGTGTACACCCTAAATTTCTGCATTCAAATGCTACTTCTCATAAATGGGCGTTTGGAGGTAATTTGAGTTGCTGAATTCGACTTCGTTTTGCTACAGTTTATGAATTTGTCCCGGCGTAATTAATCAGTTATTGTGAATTTAGGGTGAAACCAGGAATATACATGTAAATTATGTGCTTGTAAAATAGGGTTAAGTAGTTTTACTTCCCAATGAATTATTTTATTGTTGAAGTGGATGTTAACAGGATATAGTTCATAGTTCACGGTTTGAATTACCTTGCCATCATGGTATATGTACACATGCATGTCTTGTTAGAGTGCTTTAGAGATCACAGATATAACTTGCATGATACCTTTTTGTTTATCTTTTAATCTTCTTCTTCTTTTTTATTTCTTTTTTCTTGGTAGCAATTGCTGAGCTTTTGGATAATGCTGTTGATGAGGTATGTTTGAAATTTTTTGTTCTCTATGTTGTATTGTATTAGCAAAGTAATATATTTCATTGACGCCAATAATGTACTGTTATAACTCAATTACATTGAACTATGTTGTTAACGAGTTATTTGTGCATCAACTTTGCTTTATGTCATTGTGTTTTAAGGTACAAAATGGTGCAACCTTTGTGAAGGTCGATAAAATTGATGTCTTGAAGGATGGCTCTCCAGCTTTACTTTTCCAAGGTATTTTGTACCTTAATGCAAGTAGAGTACCTGCCACACAAAGATGAAACATCTGATGTTTTGTGCAGATGATGGCGGTGGAATGAATCCTGAATGTCTGCGAAAATGCATGAGCTTGGGCTATTCGACAAAGAAGGGAAGCTCGACAATTGGACAATGTAAATGTTATGACTATTTATCCTTTTCTTTTGGCATGATTGGCTTCAGTTTTGTAACTACTGTTTGTTTGGCTTCAACATTGCTGTTCTTGTCCTCAATTTTGGTTGAAGTAATTTCTTCTTCTTTTTAAAAAGTACAATGTGATGCTAGTTGCTAGACAACCAACCTTTCCAGACACTCATGTGGTTCTTATGCCTTCCTTTATTCAGAATGAACTTGTTGGAAGAAAATATTTTTCTTGGATTTCTGAACCATGTTGTGGATTCAGGCTTTATTGGCCCATAAAATGGTTGGACCCTATGTTTTTTGTGTTTGGTTTAGTTTATGAATCACTTGCAAGGCCGATGTGACTGTGTGTTTTGTTGAGCCTGCATGTCTGGATGAATGTTAAGACATCCAATGTTGGTTTGACATAGTGTTTGATATGGCTACTGTTGTATCGTGATTAAGGCATATGCTTTGATTGCTTGAACTTTTTGGTTGAATTTGTCTAATACAAGCTATCACCTTGATCATGCCGAGGTTCAAAGCAAAAGATAACTTTGCTACAAACCCTCCTTTTTCCAGAATTCTCGTAGTCCAGTTACTTGAGTTCAACTCTTTGGAATCTGCTTGTTTTGTTTATCTTGATAGGGCATCTATGTTTTCAGATGGTAATGGATTCAAGACAAGTACCATGCGACTTGGTGCTGATGTTATTGTCTTCAGTCGGGCAACTAATGCAAGGTACTGTCCGTTTCTGTTTTCGGTTTGTGCAATATGGTTTTTTCACTTAATGTTGATTACAGGTGTGCATAAATTTTTTTCAGAGGTGTTTCTTATTTATTGTTTGCAGAATTAGTTCAGTTTAACATTTTAATCTATGAGGGTTGTGTACTCAGAACTTCTTCTTTCACCACTTTTGTTTGTTTCCTTGTGAACGTCATGTATTTTGGGCTCTACAAGAAGCTTTTTACGCATGCATGATTTAACATGGAACATGTACACACAATTGTTGAGAGATTATCAGTGTGATCTTTTCAACCTTAGTTTATGGGTCATGGGATAAGGGTTTCTTGAGTTCATAGCTGTAAAATTGTTATTAGAAACACAAAGCTGGGTCTTAGTTATTTGTTTTATTGGAGTACATTTAAAAAATTAGAATTGGCCTTTTGCTTTTTGGGTGGTGGTCTCATTTGCCATTATCCTTCACTCTGATTTCAGTTTGGGTTGTTTTTACTATATCATCTTACAAGTTCATTCATTCAGCCTTAGTTTAGGAAATGAAATTATATTGAGTTTCTGAATTCTAATTTCAATCTGTTATGACGATTTTTTACTTTTTGGTGGCATCTGTCCTTTTAGCAAAGCTACCCAAAGTGTTGGTCTTCTATCTTATACCTTTTTGCGGAAAACTCAGCAGAATGACGTGATTGTTCCAATGGTGATATTTTCATGACTTTAATATTTGAATTATTTTCCCTATTATTAAGGTGGTGATTAATTTCTATTTCTAGACTGAGCTTTCTTTTTAACCTTCAATTGCAGATTGATTTTGATATTTCTGGCCATTGGGCAGACCCAATAACTTATGGCTCACAGGATGATTGGTCTTCTAACTTGGAAACCATCCTTGAATGGTCACCCTTTGCATCAAAGACTGAGCTCATGGAACAGGTATTTCAATTAGATTTTATTTAGTAAAGCTTAGAATATTTATGGCAAGGAGGATGTCTTTGGTGAACATGAATTAAAGTTTTTATTGCACTTGATATCTGGTTAATGTCTGAAACCCTTTTTTTTCTTATACATATGCTTTCTGTATCAAAAAAAAAAAAAAAAAAAAAAAAAATTATTTTCCACTAATTCTACTTTGTAAAACCTGGTATATCTTTTTTGTGGATAAGTTGGAAGGATCAATTTCAAAACTCTTGCTAAGTTATTATAGTTTAAATTATGGTCTTGGCTTTATCTTTTAAAACTTAAAATTAACTAAATAAAATTATTATATGCAATCTTCCTAACTGCCTATCAGTAGACTTCATTCTTGCTTGATTATAAGTCTGCATACTAGTTAATGCTGTTTAGATGGATATAAACAATCACATTGTGCCTTATGGAATTTTTTCTGAAGGACGGAGGTATTATTTTTTAACTTTGAACTTTCCGAGGCTTACAATAGAGGCATGTCCTTTGCTGTGACTTTTTTCTCCTACACAACCCCATGGTTATGTCACCTGCCCAATTCTACCTTACAACTGAACCATAGACACCAGCGGCACATTGGCTTCTGCCATTACAGGGTTTATATATATTTTATTTTAAGAGTTACATAGAATTTGGTTCTAATTGTGGCTTACAGATTAGCCTGTATGTTCTTTGATTATCTTATCTTATATTTTCCAGTTTGAGGAAATTGGACCACATGGAACAAAAGTGATTATTTATAACTTGTGGCTGAATGATGAAGGCATATATGAACTAAATTTTGATGACGATGATGAGGTATGCTTCGCCTTGTAAGTTGTCTGAACCATTTCATGAGATTTTTCTTTATGCATACATTTTTTAGTAATATCTTTTTAGAAGTGTCAGTCAGTATGAAATAAAATCTACCGAATGTATTATCTCTAAATGTGGACTAACTTTAATTTTTTCTGGTCATGTTTGGATAGGTATATTTGTTTGCACAATTGTTAGAGCCACTATCTTTTTTTATTTTTTTTTAAGATTTAATGAATGTATTTTTGTTAATCATTTGGCTTTGATTAGGGCTGCAGTTGAGCTGAGTAGCTCACAAGCTACTCGGGCTCGGCTCGTGTCGACCTCTGGCTCAGCTCGGTATTTCCCAATCCGAGCTCGAGCAGCTCGAAATCTTATGTGAGCCGAGCTCGAGCTGGAAGCGTGCCTACTAGAGCTCAGCCCATCATATATTAAAATTAATTTTATTAACCCTAGTCTTCCTTCAAAGTTCAATCTACTCTTTTCAGTCCACTCTTCACTCTTCAGCAGCTCAGCTCCAGTCTTCCTTAAGTCGCCAGTTCTCTTCTCCGATCAAAGCTTGTCCATAATCAAAATCATAGCACTCAGCCAGCCTCCAAACAGATCCTAATTTTGTGTTGAAATTTCAGCCACCCAACCACCGTCACCACCACCACAAGCGGTGACCACCTTTTTCTCTCTCTCTTCTATAAGCGGCGGCCAGATCTCGATAGCCAGCTCTGGCTGCCAAGATCTCAACACTAGTGAATCATAAAAATTCTTGCCAATTTCGACTTCACAATGCCCAGATCCATGGGATTCTTTATAATATCATAATAATCATGTAAACCCATGCCAACAACGTCAACACGAGAATTAACAATATACCCATGTTTGTGCTTCATCAACTTGGTCAAGATTTGAGCACAACTCTTCAATAGCTTCCCATTATCTAGATTCAATTTCATTGAAGAAGAAGAAACTTAGGTCGAAGAGGAAAAAATCTCTATTTTGGCTCAGTTTTCTGGCTCGACTCGTAATCTAGTCGAGCTCGGGTTTTACCTGTCGAGCTCGAGCTCGGGCTCTAGGATTTGCACTCGAGCTGCGCACTATTCGGCTCGTTTACACCCCTAGCTTTGATAGTATAGACTCAATGTTTCTCAAAAGTTGTAAAAACATAAAATGAAAACTTATTCTGTCTCTTATATTTGTGTTTCTAGCACTGTCAAGCGTGGAAACCTGCAAACTTAGTGCATCATTGTGATGTATTCTTTTTTATAGGAATCTTCACATATTTTTTTCTATTGTAGTGTTAGGTTAGAGGTAATATTAAACTCTGGGTTACTTTGTTTTCTTGAAATTCTGATTTCACTGCAAAGCAGAGCTCTGATGATCTATTACTTTGTTTGAAATTATGCATTGTGTTTCTCGCCTCCACAAAAGTTGAAAGTTTATGGATCAGCCTTTAGTTCTCCTAATAATCAGTTAGACCTGCAGTATGTTTGTATGCTGATTAATTTGTTGCTTTTTTCTTAACTTTTACGTATTATATGTTGTATAGATGAAAGAAAATTGTTTTTTTTATGACTTTATTAATTTTTCTTTTATCTGTGACATAGGATATACGTTTGAGAGATGAAGCTAACCATGGACATTTGAAAAAGTTGTCCAAAAGAGTGCTTGAACTTCAATCCCATATCACTTACCGCTTTCGTTATTCATTAAGGGTAATCTTTCAAATATGAACTTTCTCTATTCAGTTTGTTTGTTCAGCACACTTGTTTAACTAAGTATCTTATTTTCTTCGTTCCTTTTTATTTAATTGATCAACTCTCTGATATTTTCTTAGGCATATGCTTCCATGTTGTATCTAAGAAAGTTTGAGAACTTCAAAATTATATTAAGGGGAAAACCGATAGAGCAGCTTCATATTGCAGATGAGTTGAAATATAAGAAGGTGGTAACATATAGGCCTCAACTAGCTACAACAATGAAAGAGGTAAGATACACGGTGTGAAGAAAAGCCTCATTCCTTTTCTGTATTGCCCTTTTCATTCCAACACAGTGTTTTACTGTATGGGCTTATATTTTGCTGACTATCCACAATTAATTCATTTACAGTGCCAAAACCATCCTTAAAAAAGAATATGTACTATGCTAGATGTAGACTATGTAGGGATTGCTATTACTTGATGGTTATCTAAGTTGTCAAGCTGTGCACGTTTCAATTTTTTTTTGTTTTTTTGGTGATTTAGGCTTGTGTGGAAACTACTATTGGAGTTTTCAAAGATGCACCTGCTCTTACAGTTTGCGGATTGAATGTGTACCATAAAAATCGCCTCATCAGGGTATGTTTTGGTAATGCTCAAGTAAACTTTTCATATATATCAATATATTGTTAGTGCAGAGTACATTTTTGGTTCTCTTGGTGTGAATTAGGTTTTGTATAAATGTTAGTGATATCGTTGAACTTTTAATCCAGCAACTCATTTGCTGCCAATGTAATATCTCTGGTTATCTGCATTGGATCTCTTCCTTATTTTGTTGTATTAGCTGACCAGAGGATAAAGCCTCTCATTTTGTAGCTTATTTTCTCTTTAGTGGCATTCACTTAGAATCAAAATTACCAGGTTCAACCAAAAATATCAGTTTGATTAATGAAGAATCCTTTTTTTACTTACTATGGTCACTTAGAAACTTAAAGTAGCTTACCGAACGATATGGTGATTGTGTGGTAAGGTTTCTCTGCACTTGTTATTTTAACTGAATGAAATATGAATTATGTTAACTAATGTGGTGAGGCTATTGATATTGTTGCAGCCCTTCTGGAAAGTCAATGGTGAAGGTTCCGTAAGAGGGAATGGTGTTGTTGGTATTGTGCCTTTTTAATGATTTGTTTTTCCAAAAATAATTTTCTCCATTTTCAGTTATAAATTGCTTTGCTGGTTGTATCTTCTAGGAGTTCTGGAAGCAAATTTCATGGAACCAACACATGATAAGCAGGACTTTGAGAGGTCTGCACTCTTTGTTCGGCTGGAATCTAGGCTGAAGCAGATGACAATTGAATACTGGTTTGTTTCTTATATGTACAGTTCTTGCAATAATTCTTTTCAGAGTTTTGTGGTTTCTATATTCTTATTAAATGATTTTGTGTATTAGTGTGTATTATATTTATTCCTCAGTGATGATTATGTTATGTTATCTGTAATAATTATGAATGTGGGGTTGTATTTGAGCCCCTGAATTCCACAGAAAACACTGGTAGATTTTTACTTTCATGGGTGTTCAAATGTCTCCTTATTGTTTTGCTTTTATGTTACTTACACACATCATATTTTTATAAATGGTCGAAAAAATTTCTTACAGCTCTCGGTTGATATTTTGTTTTTTATTGCAGTTATATGGTATAAATAAAATTTCTAGGCATTTTATAGGTACTTAGCATTACCTTTTGAATTTCTTACCTAATATCTGCTCTTAGAAAACAACGATATCATTGTGATTCAAATTCATGAACACTTTTTTCTGAAACTAGTGGGAGGAAAGCAACCAAATGCCTTCATCAGCTAATGAGTGGATTATCTAAGTAAATTAAGGCTGCTTATACAGCCAAGCAATTGATCTGTTTCTTTTGATTGTTAAAGGGTGACTATCTTACCTTTTTCTTTTTGAACCATGGTAACTAATTGAGAAAAGGAAATGGCGAAGAATGTGGAAGCTGGGAGCTTGGGATGTATTTATCTATGCCAACGTTATTACTATTACTCAAAGTTTTATCTCATCCTATCAACTGCAAGAAAAGATATTTTATAGTTCCTTCACTTTTTGTCTGTTAGTAGAGTGATAATTTTTCTCATTGTTTTGACTTGGTGGAATTTGTTCTGTACAAGACAGGAAAGACAACTATCACTTAATTGTACTTCAGCATCCAGGTTCCAGTTCACATAATAAGCTAAAGAGAGACCCTGCCCAACCTCCTGATGGACATGCAGTTGACATTCAGAAGCAAATGCCTGCTAACCAACAAAATGTCGATTTTTCATCTAATGTCAATGAAGGGATGCATCTAGGTCAACCTATTGTTGGTCTTCAGGCAAACATGAGGCAGAGTATGAGAAATGAGCATCCTGCTATACAGCCGAGTATTGCACTCACTGATGTAAGTGGTAATATTATTAATATCTAATGCATTTCTGCATCTTATATTCCTGGTGTAGGACAGGGATAAGAAAAGAAAGTATAGAAGATATGAGATAGAAATAGATAGACAATAACAGAATTTAGATAGAAAGGAGACTGGAGAATAGACATCAGGGAGAGAAAGAAGAGAAGGATTGAGAGAGAAATGAGACGAGAAGAGCGTATATTAGAATAGAGAATTTGAAGGGAAAAGAACTATGAGGAAGGAATAGATTTAGAGAGATAATCAATAGAAAAGAAGAAAGTAAAGATGTGAGAATACATGTAAAGAAAAGAATAGAGAAGAGAGGAAGTAGAGAGGAGAGCATACATAGAAAGAGAAGAGAGGAAGCATAGAGGAGAGAATAAGTAGAAAGAGAAGAAATAGAGGAGTGAAAATTAATCAATAAGAGGGTTTAAATATTTAATAATTCAGATTTACTGCTTAAAAACAATACATTAGGGCCTATTTATACAGAAGTTACAGATAACATCTATCAGATCTTAGAAACAATATTATTTTTTAACAACTTTGGGCCAAAAGCTGTTGGCATTCATTATAATAAGCCTTGCAGATCTCTCTCCACAAGTCCCTGAGGGACAGATACTGAGCCATGGACATGCTGGCACTGAGAAAAACATTAGTCTAATGGTGAAGGTGGATAGGCATAAATAGATAGCTGACTACCCTTTTATAATTCTCCAGTTCCCCAGGGTTAACTCTCAGTGTCTAGGATCTTATTAGAATGGTTGTTAAAAACATAAAATGAAAACTTATTCTGTCTCTTATATTTGTGTTTCTAGCACTGTCAAGCGTGGAAACCTGCAAACTTAGTGCATCATTGTGATGTATTCTTTTTTATAAGAATCTTCACATAATTTTTTCTATTGTAGTGTTAGGTTAGAGGTAATACTAAACTCTGGGTTACTTTGTTTTCTTGAAATTTGATTTCACTGCAAAGCAGAGCTCTGATGATCTATTACTTTTTTTGAAATTATGCATTGTGTTTCTTGTCTCCACAAAAGTTGAAAGTTTATGGATCAGCCTTTAGTTCTCCTAATAATCAGTTAGACCTGCAGTATGTTTGTATGCTGATTAATTTGTTGCTTTTTTCTTAACTTTTACGTATTATATGTTGTATAGATGAAAGAAAATTGTCTTTTTTTATGACTTTATTAATTTTACTTTTATCTGTGACATAGGATATACGTTTGAGAGATGAAGCTAACCATGGACATTTGAAAAAGTTGTCCAAAAGAGTGCTTGAACTTCAATCCCATATCACTTACCGCTTTCGTTATTCATTAAGGGTAATCTTTCAAATATGAACTTTCTCTATTCAGTTTGTTTGTTCAGCACACTTGTTTAACTAAGTATCTTATTTTATTCGTTCCTTTTTATTTAATTGATCAACTCTCTGATATTTTTTTAGGCATATGCTTCCATGTTGTATCTAAGAAAGTTTGAGAACTTCAAAATTATATTAAGGGGAAAACCGATAGAGCAGCTTCATATTGCAGATGAGTTGAAATATAAGAAGGTGGTAACATATAGGCCTCAACTAGCTACAACAATGAAAGAGGTAAGATACAAGGTGTGAAGAAAAGCCTCATTCCTTTTCTGTATTGCCCTTTTCATTCCAACACAGTGTTTTACTGTATGGGCTTATATTTTGCTGACTATCCACAATTAATTCATTTACAGTGCCAAAACCATCCTTAAAAAAGAATATGTACTATGCTAGATGTAGACTATGTAGGGATTGCTATTACTTGATGGTTATCTAAGTTGTCAAGCTGTGCACGTTTCAATTTTTTTTTGTTTTTTTGGTGATTTAGGCTTGTGTGGAAACTACTATTGGAGTTTTCAAAGATGCACCTGCTCTTACAGTTTGCGGATTGAATGTGTACCATAAAAATCGCCTCATCAGGGTATGTTTTGGTAATGCTCAAGTAAACTTTTCATATATATCAATATATTGTTAGTGCAGAGTACATTTTTGGTTCTCTTGGTGTGAATTAGGTTTTGTATAAATGTTAGTGATATCGTTGAACTTTTAATCCAGCAACTCATTTGCTGCCAATGTAATATCTCTGGTTATCTGCATTGGATCTCTTCCTTATTTTGTTGTATTAGCTGACCAGAGGATAAAGCCTCTCATTTTGTAGCTTATTTTCTCTTTAGTGGCATTCACTTAGAATCAAAATTACCAGGTTCAACCAAAAATATCAGTTTGATTAATGAAGAATCCTTTTTTTACTTACTATGGTCACTTAGAAACTTAAAGTAGCTTACCGAACGATATGGTGATTGTGTGGTAAGGTTTCTCTGCACTTGTTATTTTAACTGAATGAAATATGAATTATGTTAACTAATGTGGTGAGGCTATTGATATTGTTGCAGCCCTTCTGGAAAGTCAATGGTGAAGGTTCCGTAAGAGGGAATGGTGTTGTTGGTATTGTGCCTTTTTAATGATTTGTTTTTCCAAAAATAATTTTCTCCATTTTCAGTTATAAATTGCTTTGCTGGTTGTATCTTCTAGGAGTTCTGGAAGCAAATTTCATGGAACCAACACATGATAAGCAGGACTTTGAGAGGTCTGCACTCTTTGTTCGGCTGGAATCTAGGCTGAAGCAGATGACAATTGAATACTGGTTTGTTTCTTATATGTACAGTTCTTGCAATAATTCTTTTCAGAGTTTTGTGGTTTCTATATTCTTATTAAATGATTTTGTGTATTAGTGTGTATTATATTTATTCCTCAGTGATGATTATGTTATGTTATCTGTAATAATTATGAATGTGGGGTTGTATTTGAGCCCCTGAATTCCACAGAAAACACTGGTAGATTTTTACTTTCATGGGTGTTCAAATGTCTCCTTATTGTTTTGCTTTTATGTTACTTACACACATCATATTTTTATAAATGGTCGAAAAAATTTCTTACAGCTCTCGGTTGATATTTTGTTTTTTATTGCAGTTATATGGTATAAATAAAATTTCTAGGCATTTTATAGGTACTTAGCATTACCTTTTGAATTTCTTACCTAATATCTGCTCTTAGAAAACAACGATATCATTGTGATTCAAATTCATGAACACTTTTTTCTGAAACTAGTGGGAGGAAAGCAACCAAATGCCTTCATCAGCTAATGAGTGGATTATCTAAGTAAATTAAGGCTGCTTATACAGCCAAGCAATTGATCTGTTTCTTTTGATTGTTAAAGGGTGACTATCTTACCTTTTTCTTTTTGAACCATGGTAACTAATTGAGAAAAGGAAATGGCGAAGAATGTGGAAGCTGGGAGCTTGGGATGTATTTATCTATGCCAACGTTATTACTATTACTCAAAGTTTTATCTCATCCTATCAACTGCAAGAAAAGATATTTTATAGTTCCTTCACTTTTTGTCTGTTAGTAGAGTGATAATTTTTCTCATTGTTTTGACTTGGTGGAATTTGTTCTGTACAAGACAGGAAAGACAACTATCACTTAATTGTACTTCAGCATCCAGGTTCCAGTTCACATAATAAGCTAAAGAGAGACCCTGCCCAACCTCCTGATGGACATGCAGTTGACATTCAGAAGCAAATGCCTGCTAACCAACAAAATGTCGATTTTTCATCTAATGTCAATGAAGGGATGCATCTAGGTCAACCTATTGTTGGTCTTCAGGCAAACATGAGGCAGAGTATGAGAAATGAGCATCCTGCTATACAGCCGAGTATTGCACTCACTGATGTAAGTGGTAATATTATTAATATCTAATGCATTTCTGCATCTTATATTCCTGGTGTAGGACAGGGATAAGAAAAGAAAGTATAGAAGATATGAGATAGAAATAGATAGACAATAACAGAATTTAGATAGAAAGGAGACTGGAGAATAGACATCAGGGAGAGAAAGAAGAGAAGGATTGAGAGAGAAATGAGACGAGAAGAGCGTATATTAGAATAGAGAATTTGAAGGGAAAAGAACTATGAGGAAGGAATAGATTTAGAGAGATAATCAACAGAAAAGAAGATAGTAAAGATGTGAGAATACATGTAAAGAAAAGAATAGAGAAGAGAGGAAGTAGAGAGGAGAGCATACATAGACAGAGAAGAGAGGAAGCATAGAGGAGAGAATAAGTAGAAAGAGAAGAAATAGAGGAGTGAAAATTAATCAATAACAGGGTTTAAATATCTTAATAATTCAGATTTACTGCTTAAAAACAATACATTAGGGCCTATTTATACAGAAGTTACAGATAACATCTGTCAGATCTTAGAAACAATATTATTTTTTAACAACTTTTGGGCCAAAAGCTGTCGGCATTCATTATGATAAGCCTTGCAGATCTCTCTCCACAAGTCCCTGAGGGACGGATACTGAGCCATGGACATGCTGGTACTGAGAAAAACATTAGTCTAATGGTGAAGGTGGATAGGCATAAATAGATAGCTGACTACCCTTTTATAATTCTCCAGTTCCCCTGGGTTAACTCTCAGAGTCTAGGATCTTATTAGAATGGTTGTTATAACCTTCTATGCATTCAGGGAACAGGATCTTCAACTTAGATACTAAGATGTGATTATGGAAGCAACCTAGGTAGGAACCCCAGCTTATAGCTAAATCATCAATCTCCCCTTTAGTGAAACTGAGGTGTATTCAAATTCTATTTGTTCTGTACAGTTTCTATTGTAATATGCAGCACAGATGATAAAATATGCATGGACGTGCACTGGTTCATCTTTATATGGGATTAGTATTGTTAGTTGGTGAGTGTAAAGCAACTTACTGATTTGTCTGATTGCTTCTTACTTTTTCGTTTTCCGTTGAATACTGCAAAATGCAGGGATATAACGATGAAGTCATATATGAAGATCGTCTAATGTCAATGTCAGCTGATCAGTTATGTGAGGAGAACATAAACCTTTTCATGAAGTAAGTATTTTATATTCAATCAAGGAGTTTAAAATCATGCCTTATCATAAATAATGTGAAGTTCTATCACACTTCCGCCTGTTGGGTGAAATTCTGTTTTGGCGGTGTTTACTTTGTGAAGCAATAAATTATGGTGCCTCTGTACATCGAAGTGGATCTTTTCAATAACAAAGACACACACGCAGACTCACACATAGAGAGAAAGATAGAGAGTCACACACACACAAATGAAAATTTTCAAGTGCAGGCCTCCTAAAGTTCTTAATGTGTAAACCAAGGGCTGCTGTCATTGGCTTAATTTTTGGTATTTTGTTAAGCTAGCAACTAAGTGTTGACTCTTGGTCCACACGTTATAAACTTCAGGATGTATATGTGTGCATGTGTGTAATGTGTTGATCCATGCTTTTATTCTTGAATTTATTTTGCAGGTGTGAGGAGCGCAGGCAGAAAGAGGCTGAATTGAATAAATCGGTGAGTATAATTTGCAAAACAAGCTTGTGATTTGTGATTCTAAGTTAGAAGGTATGAATAGTTAAAAGTATGTGTCAATTTTCTTTGCTGCGGCAATGGGAGTAGATTGAAGAATTAGAGAAGCGGTTGGAGCAAGCGAAAAGGAGGAATGCACAAGTGTCATTGCACTTGGAAGCCAGGAAGAAGGCTTCGGAACAAGCAGGAAAGGTTCCATAGAAGTAATTTTGAAGTTCCTGGTGGGACGAAAGCCATGACCGACCTAATGATCTTTTGTGGGAATATCAATTTGAAGTTTTCCTTTTCTTTGTTTAGAGGAAGATCCACATGATCATACTCATGACCAATTTTGGAATGGGTTGGCTTATTTGTATATTTCAGTTTAGTCTTCTGCTTCTTTGGGATTGCTCAACATTGGTTATCTTGGTAGCTTGGCGTGGACCATACTGATGTACAGTAATGAAATTGCTATTTAAGGAGTATTTTTAATTTTCTATGAAGATGAACTTCAGTTGTAAACCTTTAAAACTAGCGGCGAAAATTGAAGTACCAATACTTCGTAAAATAATCTTATAATTTTAAGCGGTTGGATTTCATCCTAAATGAGTCGTTTGGACTTTCGATTTCATCTTTAGTGGCAGGTTTTATTTTTAATTTCCATTTGAAACAAAATTAGTTTCAATAATTTTTTTGTTTTTTTTTTTGTTTTTGGTGACTCAGGTTGATTGGGTTAATTTGTGTGCAATTTGACCTTTTTTGTTTTGGATTTTAAAATTAACAATCGGATAAATCTTTCGATGATTATCTTTATTAGCAATTGAGGTGATTCGAACTCAAAACTATTTTAATAATACATCTAAAGTTTTTGTCTAACTATTCAGTCATCTAGAGGTGGTCGAATGGTTTATTGTTGTTGGAGGGGGAAGGAGAGGCATAGATTGATTACTATGACCCATTGAAAATCGTCCCCAGACGTTAAAGAGGATGGTTTCAATTCTTCATAAATTTAATAAACCTACACGACCATTCTTTGGAAGCCTTTAAAAACCAATTTTATTATTAGCATCGCAATCATAGTCACATCTTAATTATATGATCATGTTTCAATCATTTAATTTGTGATCGGATGACAAGATTTTATTATTATTAGATATTTTGTGTTTGACTCACACAAAATAACCGCTTCTCATGACAGTCTCAGGTCCCAGGTTTGATTCTCTGATTTTGATTCTCCCGTTGGGCGAGGAGCCGAGGATTGTGCCAACGATGGACTGTGGGAGTCCTAGCGGTACTCAACAGTCCCAGGTCTCCAAGTTAGATTCTCCCCTTGGGCGAGACTGTGGGACAGTCCCAGGTTCAGCTGACCCATTATTAAAAAAAAAAAAAAAAAAATCGTATACTTCTCAAATAAAATAAATTTTCAATTTTTTTAATTGTAATATTATTTAATTGTTTTAGCACTTCAGACAATTTATTTACAGATCAAATTGTTATGAATCATATTATTTAAATAAAAAATTTGAAATATCATAATATTTACCAACATGAAAATTATTAATTTAAACACTATATTAATAAGATAGCATTTTGGGTACTAACAGATTTTTAATAAAACGACTCTTCTCGGTTACCTCACCTCCGTCTCCCCGGAATTATCCGAGGTCAATAGGAGTCGCCCTCTCTGTGTGTATGCTTAATATACTGCGAGTTCGGCTATTGATCGATCAATCTAAAATTGAATCAATCAGCCAAAGCCAGATATGAGGAAACGAGATTTGGCCATTCTCATGCTCTCTGCCTTCGCCATTTTCTTCTCTCTTCATGTTCGTCATCTATAATTCTCTTCACTTAACTTGTTATAAACCTCTAAACCCTAAGCATTTCATTTTATTTAATATTTCTACTTTTATTGGTTTTACAGCACGAGGGCGATTTCTCCTTTAGAGAGGCTTGGTTTCACTTATCCGACGAATATCCAATTAAATACGAAGGCGATCGTCTGCCGCCACCTATTGTCGCCGATCTTAACGGTGACGGCAAAAAAGAAGTCCTTGTTGCCACTCATGATGCCAAAATCCAGGTTTTCTTTTTAATTCATTTTACCTTCGAATAAATTCTATTTTGTTAGCTTGTAACAATAATTTATCATTATAGTGTATAATGTCATTCCATGGCTTGAATGTTCTTCTTAGCTTGACTTCAAATTAGGATAGCCAATTTTGTTTCTGTCTTTTGTAATTTTTGTTAAATCATGGTATGTCAGATACTGGAGCCCCACGCAAGGCGTGTAGATGAAGGTTTTAGTGAAGCACGTGTGCTGGTTGACGTCAGCCTGCTTCCCGATAAGATCCGGGTTGCATCTGGAAGACGTGCTGTGGCCATGGCTGCGGGCTTTATTGAAAAACCTAGACCAGGGAAACCAACAAAGCAGGTTTTGGTTGTTGTTACATCTGGTTGGTCAGTGATGTGTTTTGATCATAACCTAAAAAAGCTATGGGATACCAGTTTGCAGGTCTATACATACTCTAGATGAATTCTTGGTTTTGGTTGTCTCGGATACTTGGCACAGATTAATGCTTATTTGTTTTTAACAGGGGGATTTTCCACCTAATGCTCATCATAGGGAGATTGCAATTTCGATTTCAAATTACACTCTGAGGCATGGGGATACAGGATTGGTGATTGTTGGAGGGAGGATGGAAATGCAGCAGCATGTAATTTTTTCTTTCTTTTTTATTTTATTTTATTGTTACTATTATTTTAATTTCCGTTTTTCATTATGAGTCTGCCAATTTCATAGCTTGTTATTTTATATTGAAGTTATAATTTATTTGTTTTCCTGAGAAAATAAAAGTTGCAGCTTGGATTAGAGGAACAACAATAAATCCACAACCATTAATATATCAGACAAGTTGAAATTAATAAAAGAAACCATGGGGTGATGATACAGAAATAAAGCTTTTATGAACTAATGAATATGCCCAATTGCAAAGGCTGCTTGCACACTAGAAATATTTCTGCTTGGTGTTCATCCTTTTCTAAAACAGCGATAAGTGTGTTAATTTTAAAAAGTCTAGGATTTGCAAATCAGAAACTTTTCTAAAACAGCAATAATTGTGCTAGTTCTAAAAAGTCTAGGATTAGAAATCTTAGAGGAGTTTGGGATTTTAAAGTTCTGTTTGTGCTGCATCTTCTGAAAATTCCTGTTTTGGACCATTAATGTTGGAAACACCTTAAGATGTCGGACTCAATCTGTTAGTTCCTTAGCGGCATAATTTTTAGTCCAGACTCTAGTTATCGTTTCATCAATTGTCATATTTAATTTCCTTGTATTATGTATTAAATGTATGCCATGCTAATCTGATTGTAGATTCTTGTTTCTTCACTCCAATGTTTAGACATCCTATATCTTGGCCGATGGAAACCAGACATCTATTTAGTTTAATTATGTTTTTCACACCAGAAATTATTTTGCACAAAAATGCTCTAATAATTCATGAACCATAGATTCTCTGTATGGTTTTCTTTGTTGTACTTGAAATAATTTTTGTTAGAATTTGTAGGCTTACATGGATCCTTTTGAAGAAATTGGGATCGCAGAGAAAAATGCTGAGCAGCATAGAAGAAGTGCTAATGAGGAGGTATATAGATGTTTTAATATATGTATGCTAAATTTTTTATGAAATCTCATCTGTAATAGTGAGGGTATTGGTTTATTTTTGCGACTTGATCTATCATGTCAGCATGCTTAGAGCAGCTACAACTTGTATTTTGGTTTTGAAAATTCCCATGTTGTTGGCTTTTGATTTAACCTTTTTATTTAAATCATGTTACACTTTTCATTCTTCTTTTTTAACAATGAATCTTTAAAGGTTGGTTGTCTGAGACAGATGATTATCTGTGTTTGTAATGCCTAAAAATATATTGATAGACCAATTAGTATCCATTAGTTTAACTGGGATGAGGTTTTGTTACCTTTTTTTTTTTTGTTCTTTTTTTCGAGATGGACTGTTCATATGATATCTCATACTGCACACATGTAGGCTTCTGAGAACTCTGGAAATGTGAATTTACGCCATTTCGCATTTTACGCATTTGCTGGTGAAAGTGGTGCGCTTCGATGGAGTAGAAAGAATGAGGTGACTATTTTCATATGTTTTCTAATATGCTTACGTGTATATTATATATCTTAACTAATTGTATCATCATTTTGCTTGTGTAGAATATTGAAGCTCAGTCTTCAGATGCATCACAGTTGATTCCACAACATAACTACAGGCTTGATGTGCAAGCGCTGAATAGTCGTCATCCCATAGAAGTATGAGTTGAAGTTGTTTACGGTTTTTATTTGTTCTGTGTTGTGATAATCAATGCTGATGCATTCTGCATTTTCTTATCATTAAAAATTTGTGATATTATCATCAATTATTTTTGTGGCCACGGGTCGGATGAAGCGGAAGAAGAGGGTTCATGTAGCTGAACCCAACTTATTTGGCATTGTGGCTTTTTAAGTTATTCTTTTATAGTGGCTTAATAGAAAATCAGAAAAAAATGGTTTGCGATTTTCTCCTATTTTCTAATTTGGCTTGATTTTTCCATGTTGTCTTTACAGTGTAAATCACCACTGTAAGCTTCCATGAAATTTTAGGCACACATGCCCACATGCTGCTTAGAATGTAAATTTTACCTAGTTTCTAATTGAAAGATTACTGAAATTGCAGTGAGGAAGTTGCATTTTGTTTAATCTCTAATATAAGGGTAACTGCTGCTTTTGTAGAGATTTCTTTTGCATTTTGCAAGCTGTATAATTTTGTTTGGATTGAATTGCTACTTCATTAAGATTAATAAATATTTCCTAAAGATAAGCTCCCTGAGACATTTAAGCTGAAGTTGGAATGCAGGGAATTCAGAGAATCAATCCTTGGAGTCATGCCCCATCATTGGGTAAGTTATTTTCTTTTTCTTTATAATTAAACAATTCTTTCTGTATTTGTTTTTCCTTACATGGTGAGGATGATGATATGCATTTTTATCAGGATAGGAGAGAAGATACTTTGTTGCAGCTGGCACACTTCAGGCGGCACAAAAGGAAAACATTGAAAAAAGTATCTGGAAGGACTACAAGCTACCCGTTTCACAAACCTGAAGAAAATCATCCCCCTGGAAAGGACTCTACAAAAAAAATTTCAAACATAATTGGGAAAGCTGCTAAATATGCTGGCTCAGCAAAACATAAGAAGGTAAGTTTTTCCAACCATATGTAATAGTGTTAAAACATACCTCTTGAGGCTGGAAAAACACTATTAACATTAAATTTTAAAAAATCCATTAGTGTAAGATCCCAAGTGAGAATTCCTTAACATTACATCATGAAGGATTTATTGATTGTGATAGCGTCAGCTCTCAATCTTTTGCCTTCAGTTGAAATTTAGTTACTTGAATTTATATTGAATTGGTGAAAGCATTAGTAGGTTTATATCTCAATGACCAAATTATTCTTAGGGAAGGTGATCTTAAATGCTTCATTTTAACTCATTTTACTTTGTTTTTGTAGCCAATAAATTATATCCCAACCATAACAAACTACACTCAGCTTTGGTGGCTTCCTAATGTTATTGTGGCTCATCTAAAGGAAGGGATAGAAGTCATTCATTTGGCATCTGGTCGGACTCTTTGCAAGGTAAATATTGATCTCAAGTTGAAGTTATTATGTGCCAGTTTTACACGCCGCACATTACACTATTTATGCCTCTTTTAACAAGTTTGATTTTAAATTTTATTAGCTTCACCTTCAAGAAGGCGGCCTTCATGCTGATATCAATGGAGATGGAGTCCTAGATCATGTTCAGGTGCTCGTTCTTTTACCTTTGTATCCTCAGGTTCTTGCTCAACTCCATTAAGTTTTTTGTGATATGACGTGAAAATGAACTGGATTATTAGTGGGAGCTGGGACATAATGTCCCTTGAAACATGTTGTCTATTGATGCATGATTTTCATTTTGTAAATCAAATACTTGATTTTCTTTGGAGTATAGCGCCTTTTTATTATAAATTGCCACTATGCTTCATGTTTCTTTTCTTTGAAGCTAGTCAAGTAATTACATGGGTGATTTTGCTTTGAGTAATGATACCATGTGCTGTTAATTGGTGACTATAACAATCTCAAGAAATGTTGAAATGTTTTTTTATCTTTGATATTTTCATATGTCACCTATTTGCAGACTTCTACAGTTAATCTCTAAGCTTGAAACAACTGTATTGAACCTCAAAGAAAAAAGGAAATGGACAAAGCAAAACGTTGGAATTTTTCGCTTTATTTATGAGAATATATGTAAACAGAAATATCTTTCAATTTCTTCAGGCTGTTGGAGGAAATGGTGCAGAACAGACTGTTGTTAGTGGATCTATGGAAGTGCTTCGGCCCTGTTGGGCTGTTGCAACCTCTGGTGTACCTGTTCGTGAGCAACTCTTCAATGCTTCCATCTGTCATCATTCCCATTTTAACTTATTCCAGCATGGAGAGTTCTCCAGAGGTTTTGGTCGGAATCCAGATGTAGTATCTTTAGAGGTGGCAACACCCATTCTTATTCCAAGGAGTGATGGCCATAGGCATCGTAAAGGGAGTCATGGTGATGTTATCTTCTTAACAAATCGAGGAGAGGTACGTCTGTGATTGGTGTATAGAAATAGGATTAATTGTATATATTGGGAAGAGAAGGAATATCTCCATTATGTTTATGCATCTCATCTGAAGGCTCATATTGGGGCGCTTTTCCCTGTATAGCTGATTATTTTTATTAATTGGAGACATAAATTGCCTGCAGGTGTATGTCACTACTTTGTTTTTTTGAAAACTTGGATGACTCATAAATATGTCATTCCTTTCAGGTAACAGCATACTCCCCTGCTTCACATGGACACGATGCAGTTTGGCAGTGGCAGCTCCTGACAGGTGCAACATGGTCAAATCTACCTTCCCCATCAGGGATGATGGAAGCTAACCTGGTGGTGCCCACATTGAAGGCAATCTCATTGCGTGTGCATGACAACCAACAGATGATCCTTGCAGCAGGAGACCAAGAGGCTGTAGTGCTATCACCAGGAGGAAGTATATTAACATCAGTTGACCTTCCTGCACCCCCAACCCATGCACTTGTTTGTGAGGACTTCTCGAATGATGGGCTCACTGATCTTATTCTCATGACCTCTAATGGGGTCTATGGTTTTGTCCAGACCAGGCAGCCAGGTGCCCTCTTCTTCAGCACACTCGTTGGATGCCTTATTGTTGTGATGGGAATCATCTTCATTACTCAGCACTTGAACTCTATGAAGGGGAAACCCCGTGCTTCATCTGGTCTGCGGTAAAAACACTAGTTGTATACTTCCAGTGTTAAAATATCACAACATAGAAGCAATGTGTGAAGGTAGCATCGAAAGAAGTCCAGGACGCTGAACAGCATACATCATGTCAAAGTTTCCTGTCTTGGGATTATAATGGATTTGGTCATCCAAGTTGCTCTTTAGCAATTTCAGCACTTGCTTCTGAAAGATCTTTTGCTTGTAAAATTAACTACAGTTTTTAGTGGATAACTTGATAGGAAATTATTTAGTTTAATCCTACTTCACGAACGAGGCTTTTTCTAACTTGTTACATCTAGTTAACTGTTTTATGTTGCCTGTCTAATTTGTGTTTTTGCATGCTCTGGTTGATTGATTTTAAATGTTAACGTGCAGTTGAGTGTGGTGCTTTTACATTGCTGGTCCAGAGATGAGAAAAAGCCATGCTTTCAAGTCTTTCCTCGTATTTCAAATTCTACACGGTCAGGTAATTGAAAATCAAATACTTGGTTGGGCTTTGAAAGAGAGGTGGCCCATCCTTGTTAGAAAACTAGGAAGAGTGTATAAGTTGCATAATTGCAGCCCCTGAACACAACACGCCGGCCATGTGAAATCATTATTCATTCCAACCTATTATATATCTTGTCAGAAGCCATTTGATGGTTCTTCAACTGGGTCCATTCTTCTTTATTTCATGTGTGACCTGATACTTGGACCAAGTAGAATCACCATATCCTTTGTTGGTCCAGAATTTGGTTCATGTAGGTTCCTTGGTTCTAGTGGAAATTGAGAGAGATGAGTTGAGTTCTCGGTAATATGATACAATAAAAACAAGTGTTAGAAATGAAAGTTGGGTATGTGAGTTTACATCAGTGATGAGTGATTGCAAACTATGCATATATAATAATGAAATGAGGGCCATTTGCGAGAAGATAATGGCTTTTCAGTTTGATAGTGGCATTATGTGAATTTATTATAATATAAAGGGAGCATGATGTCGCTATATTACTATTTTGGGCGGTGCCTTACTTTCTTCGTGCATTCAAACAAAGGGTATTTTGGATGGTAACAATTCTATATGCTTGTCCAATCGAGGCAACTTCAAAATGATGAAAATTTTGAAGTGACATTTCCACCCATTTAATACCATCAACTTTTCTCTTTATTTTATTTTTAGGAGAATGAGACATTGAAACATAAGAGTTCAACTTCATGATTTGAGGTCACAAACATAATGTTACTGTTTCTTGAAGCTTATTATGTGGATGGGAATGGGATCTTAGAGTAACCAAAGTCTAGATTAGGTGGAACACTCTGACACATATTCCTAACTTGACTCTTATCATTAAAACAGTGTTTAGAGATTTGATAATCCTATCCCTCGGACACAGATTAACCATCAAACCCAAGTGCCTAACCGCACCCACCCACCTATTAATAATACAAAACCATTCTTTTGGTCTGTGAAGTCTGATAGTTAAAGAGGTTTACTTCATTTATTAAGTTCTTAGGTTTTAATTTTTGGGTCATCTACCATAATAATATTATAATTTATCTATTTTTTTAAGTTTGTAAGGTGTTCAATAGACTCTAAAGATTAATTGAGGTACCTATTAATTGACTCAAACAACCTGGTTACACACGAAACCCTAAAGTATCTGAATGGCCAACTGGTACATTGATTAAGTGAAATGCATTTAATGGAAAAGTGAATCATTATTCATGGATTGGACTCATTATCTTATATATATATATATATATATATATTAATAGCTGAACACTAGACTAGTCATCTGATCCTTGCACAAAATTGTATCTAAAAATAAACCATATTTCCATATCCATTTAAATCCAGCTACGTCAACATCAATATTATATTCCTCCATTATGGCTCTTGTAATTAAAACTAGGCAAATAGTTGAGCAAGTCAATGAGCTATTCCATTATTTAAGGTAGGGTTCACTGATGAAATAACCAGCCTCTGAGTTGTTAATGCAATGGAATACCGATCATCAGTGGATACAAACACACTTCACGCTAAGAACTATGACTATCATTAAAAGTGATTTCAATTTCCAAAGATTTCCTGATTCAGTTGTGACTCAATGTCTATACGTGTTAAGTTTAACTACTGAGAATGAAGCAAACAAATTAGAAATGGAGACTGACCCGCCTCTATCAATGTCTTACAGTACACACTCTTTATCTGTTGACTGTGGGGAGGAAAAGAAGTGTCCAGAACCTTGACAAGTCTCTTTTTAATGACATCCACTCAGAGTTTTGATATGAACAGGTTCAATATTATATATATATATATAGAACCTGTCACCGTCTTGAAACTGCGTTTGTTTGGCCAAACTTGATTAGCAGTTAGGTCGTTAGACTGTGTTTGATTATTTTAATAAAGCACCGCCAAGTTGCTCCCAATAAACCGAAAGATTAAAGTAGATGTAAAGGAAGCAGGAAAAAGTAATGCAAAAATATTAACTAAAGAATTGACAATTGCGCGTATTTCCTAGAAGAAAATGACCCAATAAGCATCTTTTCCAGAATAGTACCCAAACGTCACGGGATCATTTCTATCGTATGGAATCGACAACAACGGGTAATAATCATCTACTTCTACAACATACTAATCAATAATAAACAATATTTTAAGTCAATGAATCCATCTTCTTATAATCATTGAATTCAGATCCGGATATATATATATATATATATATATATATATAGAGAGAGAGAGAGAGAGAGAGAGAGAGAACAATGGAAGGACTAAGGAGAGTGTGTGAGGTTATGGACCAGGTAACGTACTAAGCCAGCCTTGTATTGTATGTAATTTGTGTAACTGGGTATATTTCGAAATTCACAAATTTTCTATATATAGACCCAATAGGGCATTAAGTAAATTAGGCAGAACAAAAGTTGAAAATAAAAAAAGGTGGTCCAAAACTACAAATATAATGCAGCTTTGAGCGTGATAGTAGAGAGTAGAGTGGGGATTTATCAAAAGTTGACAAATTTGTAAATTAAGAGAGCCACAAAATTGTTCAAAATGTCATAAATTTTTTAGTATCGGCACACTATTGATTTGTCAACTTAATGTTGTTTTTTTTGGATTTTCATCAAGTAACTTTGACTCTTCGATTGAGTTAGGGATTTTCATCAAGTACTTTCGACTCTTCGAGTGAGTTAGTTGGTGGAGATCCAGTTTTTTTTTTCTTTTTCTTTTGGATAAACAATGTAATTGTCTCTTCCGTTACTCAAACATAAAACCTTTATGTATAGTTAACTCCAATCGTTAAAAAGTTTGTTATTCAACCACAAGGGGAGAGGTGAGATATAGTTTGAAATAGACGGTAAGATGAGATATGATTATCATGTCCAAGAAGATGATCAAAAAGTATATATATGCAATGCAACTCTAATTCCAATACACTTAGAAATTGAATTAACCTCATTATTCTCATTTAATGGTATCTAAAACTAATGTAGATAAAGGGCAAAACAAATTTGGATTGGAAACCTAAATGACAGTAAAGTTCCAAATCTCTAAAACTTTTTAACAAGCAAGGTACGTTTTCAGGAATTTCGTGTCCTCAATTTTAGTGGTTTTGTTTTATCACATAAATTGGTCCAAGTTTCTGATGAACTGCAGAAAGGCAATCGTATAAATTGTCCCTCTCCAAATGCCAATAAGGAACGTGTACCTTTTATCAATTTCACATATGCAGGGGGGCTGGGGCAGACCTCTTGGAAATTAATTATCCCATCAATAAGGACAAATTCATGCAGAAGCATTAAAAGGTATTTGAACTAGTGTGCTATATATGACTGGCTTTTAAGAGAAAAAAGAATACAAGGAAAATTAATTATACAGTCAAGAAGACACATCACAAGTGGTCCTATTATATTTTTGTTAGAATAGTTTATATCTTCAACAAATAATATATAAATTAAGCTGGTTCTGACTTTTGGTTTTCATATATACTAACAGGTGTATAATGTGATAATCATTGGTTAATATTCTTGGTGGGTGTTCTAATAACAAATTACACAACCATGTATCATACAAATTTAGGAATCAGTCCCTTTCAAATACACTATTTTTAGTTCCACGGAAGCATATTAAAACATGCAATTCATTGTGATATGAAAATATCTCATGAAATTTGAGAACCCTAATTGAAAGGATGAATGGTGGGACCTAAAGAGCAGTACATGAGATGAGAATCGAGTTCCCAGAGAATGGATATGTAAATCAATTTAGAGAATCCAATTCCAAACCCAGAATACAGGAATTGAAGAATAATAAATGAATATATTTTATTAAATAAATAAGATATTGGGGCTTGGGGTGAAGGAAACAATCAAATCTTTTATGCATATCATATCGTCACGATTCACATGTCACTATTAATCCCACCACTGATTGCTTGACATTGACTTCTCTCTCTCTCTCTCTTCTTCTCTTTTTACTTCCAAACTTAACCAAAACCATATATTATTTACCTAATACACTGCCCCTTTAATTAATTCACACGACTTTTTTTCCAAATTCTGATTTTAATATTAAAAAACAGACATATTTTTCATTTATAGATATCATTAAATAAATTTGTAATTTTGTAATATAGATACAATTATGATCACCTCTTATATATAAAAAAGATGATAATTCTGATAATTAAAACAAAAATACTATATTTATAATTTACTCTTATAATTTTAACGTAGAGGTAATGTTAACACTATCACATCAACTGACGATTTTGATTAAACATAAACGGACGTTCCTTCAAGACGAACGATTATTTATTTATAAGGAATGATTATTTCATTTATAAATAAACATAAATAACAATTCTTTTGTAAAAAACAATCCTTATGAAAGAATTGTTGTTGGTTTTTAAGAAATAATGTTTGTGTCCAATGGTAATCATTTAGGGCCTTAGATGTAGTGAGAGTTGACATGACAGTTGTCAACTCAGATATTACGTTGTGATTATGAGATTAGATTAGGGAGTGTTATTACTCTAAGCAAAATAATACTGTATAAGCCAAATAAGGAAAATATAGGTGACTATGGGTGCTTTTAGAGGAAGAGAAAGTCATTAAGAATGAATTAGTATGTAACCAAGGACTGAATGGGCATTAGAGTTTGGTAGTTAGTTAACTTGGGGATTTGTGGATTTTGGGAAGTGTAGTTTCTCCTAATTATACTCTGGTTAAACACATGCATTTTATGTTACTTTTAGAAAAAGAGAAGATAATAATAATAATAATAATTAAGAAGGAGAAGGAGGGGGAGATGAAATAGTAATTAAAGTTAACGCGTTTTGTTAAATGTTTGGAAGGTAGTGAGTCAACCATGGGAACAAACACAG